ACAAGCTCCTATCGACAAGAACCCTAATCTCCACCAAGAGAGGGTTCGTCGAGGAGAGGGAAGAGGAGGTCGAGCTCCACCACCATTGTTCAACAAGGTGAGAAGACAGATTCGTCAACATTGACAACTGGGTCAGCCTCGCAATGCAAGGCGTAATCATATGCGATTCCGAGAGGAATAAGATGATGAGTATGAGGAAGAGGATCCATACAGATGGGATGAAGAAGATGATATGAGGAATATCAAAATATCAATTCCATCGTCTCGAGGAACAAGCGACCTGGATGCATATATCAACTAGGAGCATAAGATGGAGCTGATTTTTGACTGCAATCACTATTCAGAGAAACGAAAGGTGACCCTAGTTGTTCTTGAGTTTAGTGATTATGCTACGGTGTGGTGGGATAAGCTGTGCACAAGGAGAAGAAGGAGATGACAAAAGCCTATTGAAACATGGGACGATATGAGAGACATCATGCGAAACAGTTTCGTGTCAAGCTCTCATCAACGCGAGATGCATCAAGCTCTGGAAATGCTCCGATAAGGCACCAAAAGTGTTGAAGACTATCATAAAGAGATGGAGATGCTAATGATTCAAGCTGATGTTCGTGAAGCCAGGGAGTCTACCATAGCTCGATATCTCTATGGGCTTAATCGAGAGATCAGAAATACTTGGAGATCCAACCATTCGTCGAGCTTAATGAATTGGTGACTATGAAAATTAAGGTGGAGAGGCAACAGAAGGGGATGAGGATCTTACCTACCACTAGCTCCACGAGACCTACTGACTCGCTATGACACAACTCCTGACAAAGGCCAAGTGTAACCAATGAAAGGGACTGCAGTATAGTGGCTCAAGTAATAAATATCGAATCCACGGGTCTCTAGAGTTACTATTACTCAGCTTCAGTTCATTATCTAGCAAACCAGATTAAGATGAAAGAACTAAAACTACTCTAGCAAACTACAGATAAAGTTAATCTAATTACAGGTTGGGAACTCACTTAGGTATGATTTCCCCTAGCCACTAGCCAGATTAATGATTGATGATCTCTAACTTGTTTCACTTTCATTCACAATGCAGAGAATCCTTGACTAGACCTTGAGTCTCGACTAAAGGATCAAGGCCCTCTTGAGTCGATTGCCTAGAGGGACGTATCTATCTCTAGAACAACCGATCAAGGCGTTCTGAACTAGACTCCTTCTATCGAATGAGGTTCTCAATCGATACAAAGCATTGAATCAACCCTCGACTAAAGCAATCGATCCAATACTATCAATCTATGGTGCTCTATTGACCTAATCAGGTATTCGCTCTCATAGGATCAAAGCAGAATCAATAATCTCGACTAAAGCAGAATTGAATCATGAAAACATGCATAGATTGAATATGAACTCAAGATTATCAAGTAGGAGTACTCATACAATCATCCAATCAAACAAACATAGCTAGGGTTCCTCAAAACCTAAGTGAAGGGAAGTTACTCCATAGAGAAGAGAGAGACTGCAGTAAGAATCTTCAGATGATCAGTCTCCAAGTCTGGGTTTGTTCCTCGAGCTTCCAAGGGGAAGAAATCCTCCAATTCCACTCCAAGATTGCCCTCAAATCGCCCTCTCTCTCTCTTTGGTTCGTCCCTTGGGTGTTTGGGATCCAAAATCCAGCTCTCCCTTGCAAAAACGCACAAAACAGGCTTTTAACAGCCTACGTTTGCGATCCCCGGTCAGAATACCCGGTCGGGTATCAACAAAATGCTTCGAGTCACTCTTCTGGGCAAAAGGGAAAATACCCGGTTGGGTATTTTTAGTACCGGTCGGGTATTTTTGGTTCACGACCGGGGGGCCTTTTGATGCTGCCAAAAATCCCCTATCAGATGGCCAAAATACCCGGTAGGGTATTATGGTCGGGTATTTTGCAGTTCCGGGTCCCCTATCTTTGATTCTTCGTTTCTCCCTCGTTCGGACTCCAAATCAGGTGTCGTTTGATCCCAGACGCTCGTAGTCTCATCCTCTTTCTTCTCATGACAAGATTACATGATGATATGGTCAAAAACTGAGGAAGAAATCCATTTTTCTTCAAGTCATACCCGAGTTTCTTCCCCCGAGTCGCCAATTGATCTCCGATTGACTTGAAACTTGCGCCTACGCTTCACTTTATGTGCTAGGACCTGAAATGTGACAAAGGAATACAACTTAGCATAAAATAGGTCAAAGAAGCGATAATGCAAGCTTAAACGATCGAGAAACAAAGGGGAAAACATGTGCAAATATCGAGTCATCACCTACTCAAGCTACCACAACAGAACCTAAACATGTGAAGAAATCACCAAAACCTGCAGCCAAGGCTGACATCTGAAAGCAAGGTAATTCGTCTGGTAGTATTCATGATTTTAAATGGTATGGGCGAAGGCACATTGCGAGCCAATGTCCAAACAAGAGGGATTAGATTCTGACGCAGAGGAAGAAGAACATAAAAGAAAACGACCTCAGAATCTGAAGTAGATGAGACCATAGGATGGAAGCACCTCCAGACAAGCTACTTGAGGTAACCGAAGAGCAGCTTATGCAAGGGAACTATTCATATGTAACTCATCGTATTTTGAATATGCGACAAAAGAAAGAGATTGAGAAATGAGAAAATTTATTCCATACTCGTTGTTTGCAAAGGGAGGCTATGCTCATTGGCCATTGATGGAGGAAGTTGCACAAAACTAGTGAGTGCAATGATGGGGAAGAAGATCGTGTTGAAGCCGCTATCACCCGAAGAGGTCTATGAATACCAACTCCAAATACAACAAAGTAGAGAGAAGAAAGAGAGTATACCAAGAGAGAGAAGGGTTCAAAAATGGCGACCATAACTTTGATGATGGCATGAAGAGAAGACATGACATTGGGAGATGACCGTGATCATCATTGAGGTAAGTCAATTCAGATTCCAAATTATGGTGAGATTACTAATCACATCGACTTTGTTGTGGGAGATGAAGTACCAACAAAGGAAGTTCGACTTAGAGAGATACGACGACTTCAAGAGTTTGTGGGGAAGCTTTGCATTCAAGGTGCATGCTCTAGTTCGAGGGTGATGGAGTTGTACAAGGGAGTTTATATGCAACCACAAGATTTGAGGACAAATCTTTTTGAAGAGGGATGGAATGATGCATCTCAGATCACCTAACATGACATCCATCGAGTTTGAAGAATATATAACGATCGTGGCCAGAAAATGAAGGCTCTAGAGGCTCGAGAAGGCTAAGAGAAGGGTCTAATTGACCAAGAGATGATCGACGGAGGAGCTGGAGCTGTTAGAGGATCGAGGCATGGTCGTAGGCCAAGATGGGAGGAAGGACTCAAATCCTCGGCCAGCGGAGGACAATCCCCGATCAGGGATTGAGGGCACCAAATCAGGGATCACGTCTAGACGACCCCCGGTCGTGACACCCAAAACCATGATCGGGGAATTTAGAGACGAGGGTGGGGGTCGGAGCTGGGCGGCGTTGATTGCTGTTGTTTTGTTATTTGTGTTTTGGACAAGTTGTTTAGTGTAAGTGTCTTTCTGCACTCATTTTTAGGGTTATTTTGTGACTCCTATATAAGGAGAAGAGTTTTACTATATGAAACAATCAACCAAGTTTTATCTATAAAAAAAATCAGCAGATTTTTTAGTTCAAAGTTTGAACTGTTTTGCAAACTCTCCATCGAGGATTCTGTAGGATTGTACGAGGCTCTTATCAACCAGACGATCACATCTGGTCGTGGCGCGCCACGACTATACCGATTGGGCTTTCCCACAAGTTCAGGATCGTTTGACCGGTTTTCACGTTATCTTTACTTTTTTGCGTTCTTGAAGAAAACCCTAAAAAACCACAAAATTGGAGTGTTGCGTATTTTGATTGTTGAGCGAGTTCAAATCCCTTGAAACCGACTCATATCATGTTAGTTTAGTGCATAGAACGAATCTAGGATTAGGATTGATTCCACGTTGGTATTCAGGAGTTGTAGAGACACTATTCGTATGCAGAATTGTAGAGACACCAAAAGCATAATAAGGGATTAAGCAAGAACATCATATAGATTTTGAGAACTTTCATTGAAATTTGATTTAGTGCGTATGATTATTTCGAGATATTATTTATTATGCTAAATGTTTATTGTATTTCAGAATACTTTCAGGCTGTTTGGTACCAAATGAAATGAGAATTATTGTGTAGAATTTATTGTCAAATGAATTCATGTGTTTGGTATATCACATGTATAAGTAATTTAGTTAATAAAAGAAGATAATTATATCATTATATTATAATTAGTAGATAATTGTGGAATTCATTTGGAAATTCCATCTCAATTTCTTGGAATTGCTATAACTAGTTCCAATTCCATAGAATTCAAAATTTATAATTGAAAATGAATTCTTTTAAATACCAAACACAAAAATGTTTCATTCTAAAATGAATTCCTCAAAACTTATAGAATTCATTTATACCAAACGGTATGTTAAGAGAGAATTCTGTTACTCTTCCATGTATTGAAAATTCATTTATTTATCAATGATATTCGAATATATTTAGTGCCTGTCAAGGTTTGGGTGTGATAAAAAGTGTTCATCACAAGTTAGAAACTAATGTTGTATATAAAATAAAAAAATTAGACATTACGCTATAACCTCTGAAATTAGGTTAAAAACATACTTCAATTGGAATAGGATTAGATTATAAGATCTTCTAAGGACGTTTTGCGATTGATTGCTCCGAGTTTGTCGGAGGAAAACCTAAAATTCGCGAGTTCTCTAGGGTTTCGCTTCTGTCATGGCGACGGGGGCGCCGGCGGTGACGTCGACGGGGAAAGACAAGCCTCCAGACTTAGCTGGGGGTATCCGACGACTAGCTGAAGCCTCCTCATCACCAAACGGAAGATCGGCAAAGGAAGCAACGCAAGCAAAGAAGAGAGCTAGGGCTCTGGACTTTTCGTCAGGACCAGTGGAAGTGGAAGATGTAACAGAGGAAGAGATGGAGACGGAGCAGACTGTCGAAACGGAACAGAAGGGGTGGCCAGCTGGGACGAGACCGCTCTTTAGTGAGATTCTTAAACAGGACCAATGGTACGTAGAAGACTCTGATACCGAGGACGTAGAGCAACGTGAGAAAGAAGAAGATGACTTCGTAGATGAGGAGGCTGAGGATCCAAAGTGCCCTACAATATGCTTTACCGCTACTGAGAAAGCTAAATGGAGGCGGGAATGGCGATCGGCTTTGGTTGTCAAAGGGCTAGGGAGAAGAGTAGCATATGTACCACTTGCGAAACGTCTGAACTACCTGTGGGGACGGCATGGGGAGCTCCAAATCTCGGATATGGAAAACGGCTGTTACTTAGTTCGATTTCGAAACCAGAAGGATTATGATATTGCGACGATGGGGGGACCTTGGCTATTAGGTGACACGTACTTGACAGTTCACAGGTGGTTCAAGGGATTTAATCCATGGAAATCAACCGTGACATCAACAATGGTCTGGGTTCAACTACCGGAGTTACCCATTGAATTCATTAACAAAGAGGCTGTATTGCGTATAGCGGAGGCCATTGGACGACCGATAAGGGTGGATAGGGCTACGGAGCTCGGGGCTAGAGGGAAATATGGTAGAGTCTGTGTGGAAGTAGATCTGACAAGACCCCTCCTATCACAGTACAAGATTGAGGGGATAACCTATCTTATACAATATGAGGGGCTCGAAAAGGTGTGCACAAACTGTGGGAAGTATGGAAAATCAACGGTTGACTGCCAATGCTTGGAGAGAATGAACGAGAGCTCCGATGAGGGTGGAGAGGGGGTTAGGGAGGCTAGTACAGACCCAACGAAGGGGAGGACCTATGGGGAGTGGATGGTAGTGAAGAAGAAGGAATGGAAGTCGGGACGCAGGGAAGGAACGGTGTCTCGCAACATACAAACAACCGACAAGACAAACCGCTTCCATGCACTCCATGAAGTCCCTAGCGATGTTAATATTAATGATGAAATGGGTGAAGTAACTGATCGTGAGAATGGAATGGAAAAAATGACTAAAAGAGGAGAGGAGCTGTTGACTAAGGTGACACAAGGCGGGAAGGAGAATATAGGCGACAAACAAGTTGAGGGGGGGAGCAAAGAAGAGGAAGGGGCGAAGACCCAGAAGGAGAGCAGTGGTATGAAGAAGAGTAATAAAGAAGAACAACAAAGAGGGGAGGGCAGAACCATGAATCCCACAGGCGAGGTCTCACAAAATGTGGTGGGAGGTAGGAAGGAGCTGGGGAAATCAAGGGAGACATCCGGGAAGATTGTAAATTCAGGGAAGAGCCCGGGGGTGGTTGCTGGAGGGAAGAAGAACGTAACAGGGCCTAAGATGTCGACAAATGCTGAGGGTGCGGGGAACCGATCCCCTTCAGTTCCCAAATGAAGCTCTTAAGCTATAACTGCCGCGGTCTGGGAAGTACGCGAGCAGTGAGATCCCTCAAGTCGCTTTTGCGACAAACTTCCCCACAGGTCGTGTTCCTGATGGAGACGCGTCAACTGTGTGATGAAAATGAAGCAACAAGGATGGAGCTAGGATATAAGAATGGAAAAAGTTGGCCAACTGATGTGTCAAATGGCGGAAGGGCAGGAGGTGTGAGTATTTGGTGGAATGATGAGACACAAATTACGGTGATGTCAAAAACGCAACACCATATTGATGTCAAAGTAATCGATGAACTAACAGGAGAGTGGCGGTTCACGGGGGTGTATGGCTGGCCTGACGGGAGGGAGAAGGTACGTACATGGGACTTGCTTCGTCAGCTCGCAGAGCAATGGATGGGTCCTTGGCTTTGCGGGGGTGATCTAAACCAGGTGCTATCGGACTTTGAGAAAAGGGGAGGGAATCTTCCGGATGAAGAAGAGATGAGGGCTTTCTCGGAGTGCTTAGTCGATGTGGGATTGCAGGATATGGGTTTTTCCGGGTATCCATATACTTGGGAGAACAGAAGGAGTAGGGGCGGCTTCATAGAAGAAAGGCTGGACCGGTTCCTTGCTAATGAGGGGTGGCGGGAAAGGTGGCCGAATGCTAGAGTTTCACACCTGGGCAACACTAGATCCGATCACCGCCCTATCTTATGCGAAACGCTAGGCGAGGAGGATGAGGAATTGAAGTGGGGGTGGTCATTTCGGTTCGAACCGCACTGGCTACAATACGATGGGTGCAAACAGGTGATTGAGGAAGTGTGGAGTTCTGGAGTGGGGGACATATACAATAAGATGGGGCAGGTGAGTACCAAGCTGGATAATTGGAGTCAAGTGGCTATTCCAAACTTCAGAAGGCAAAAGGCAAAAATACAAAGGGCACTGAAGGCGCTGGAAAGAGGGGAGCAAACAGATATTGTTATTGACCAGCGCAAGAAGCTCTTAGCTGAGCTCGACGATGTGGAATGTGATGAGGAAATCTTTTGGAAACAACGATCCCGTGCGGATTGGCTGAAGGACTGGGACAAGAACACAAACTTCTTCCACAGGAAATCATCAGCAAGAAGGAAACGTAACACCATAAGAAAGTTGAAAGATGAGGCGGGAAACTGGTGGGCAGGGCAGGAACGTGTTATGGCTTGCCTAATGAGCTACTTTGGCAATCTATTCACAGCTGGTGAACGACCCTCAGCGACACCAGTTTTGGATACCATAGGTGGGCGGGTAACAGAAGCGGCAAATGAGGAGTTAGTGAGGGAAATGACCCGGGACGAGATTTTTGAGGCCCTAAATCAAATGGGGAGGAGGAAAGCTCCGGGAGCAGATGGATTGTCGGTCCTATTCTTCATTAAGTTCTGGAATATCGTTGGCGATGAGGTAACAGAAGCTTTAATGCAGATAGTTGATCGTGGAGAAATACCGGAAGGACTTAATCATACTTTGATTGCTCTAATCCCAAAAGTTAAGGAACCGATGATGGGAAAGGACTTCCGTCCAATAAGTTTATGCAACGTCCTATATAAGATTCTGGCGAAGGTACTAGCGAATCGTTTGAAAGTACTGCTGAATGAGATCATTTCCCCGGAACAGAGTGCCTTTGTCCCCGGACGCTTCATAGCAGATAACGTGATGACGGCGTTCGAGTGTTTTCATACTATGAAAGTCAAGTCGAAGAATAAGAAAGGATTCCTAGCAGCGAAAACGGATATGGCGAAAGCTTATGATCGCGTAGAATGGTGGTTTTTAGAAGGAGTAATGAGAAGAATGGGGTTCTCGGAGAGATGGATTAAGCTGATAATGATGTGTGTTCGCTCGGTCACGTACTCGATATTAGTTAATGGCCACAGATCGCCACAGTTTGCACCAAGCAGGGGATTACGGCAAGGAGACCCCCTATCCCCATATTTATTCTTGCTGGTGGCGGAAGGATTGAGCACATATATGGAGAAGGCGGTCCGGGAGAAGAAGATTCATGGGATATCGGTGGCTCGGGGAGCACCGGTGATCTCACACCTTTTTTTCGCTGACGATGCTATCTTTTTTGCCAGGGCCACAGTTCAGGAAAGCATGGAGCTGCGGAGAGTACTAAAGGATTACGAAATTGAATCAGGGCAACTTGTCAATCTGGACAAGTCCGAGGTGTCATTTGGTGGGAGTGTGAAGACTCATCAGCGACTAATGGTGAGTTCGGCGCTGGGAATGCGGGCGGTGGAGAAACACAACAAATATCTGGGTTTAGTCACCGAGGTTGGGAGATCGAAAAAGGCGCTGTTTACCTATCTAAAAGAAAGAGTAAGGAAGAAGCTTGCAGGATGGAAGGAGCGGGTGATGTCGGTGGCAGCCAGGGAAGTTCTCATTAAATCAGTGGCTCAAGCGCAGCTTACTTATACGATGTCGGTGTTCCGGGTCCCAGATGGTATAATCGATGACATACACGGTCTCATTACAAGATTTTGGTGGGGCCAGCGAGCGGAGGAGAAGCGTATTCCTTGGATTGCACGAGAAGAACTAATTCTACCAAAGGGCGAAGGCGGGATCGGTTTCCGAGACCTGCGAGGCTTCAACAAAGCTCTACTGGCACGGCAATTGTGGAGCATCCACAGCAGACCGGAATCTCTCATAGCAAGGGTGTTAAAGTACAAATATCATAAGCATGAAGATATCCTGGACGCTAGGGTGGGGTACCGGCCAAGCTACGTGTGGAGAAGCTTGATGAGTGCACAAGATTTTCTTGTTGATGGTTTGAGATGGCGCATAGGGAATGGAGCACGGGTACGAGTATGGGGTGATCGGTGGGTGCCTTCAACACCGGGGAATATCATTCAGTCGCCGCCAATGGGGATACCGGTGGACTCGGTGGTAAGAGAGCTGATCGATGAGGAGTATGAACAGTGGGACAGGGATCTCCTTGAAAGTTGTTTCCCAACGACGATGGTGGAAGCCATTTCCCGTATTCCGCTGCGTGGCTCCCATGAACAAGACCAGCTGATCTGGGCGGATAGCAAAAATGGGAATTATACGGCTCGAGAGGGTTATCGGCGATGGCTGAAGGAAACCCGATTGGAGAAAGGACATGTGGCGACGGGAGACCCAACGATGTGGAAGAAGATGTGGGGAATGATGGTGCCGCCGAAAGTGAAGCACTTTATGTGGCGCTTTGCTAGGGACTCTCTTGCTATCGGGGACCATGTGGTGAGGCGTAATGAAATGAGGGGAGACAAATGCCCTTTCTGTGATGGCCAGGAGACTCAGGTACATGCTTTCGATCAGTGTGCATGGGTTAGTGGTTTATGGAGGAAATCACAGGTGGCTCATTGTTTCGAAATGAGAGGGGAGGCACAAAGCATGGAGTGGGTATTGAAAGTGGCGACGACGGTATCGGACAAGGAGTTTGAGGACTGGAGTATGCTGATGTGGATGCTATGGAAGGAGCGGAACGCCCATATGTTTAACGGGCCGAAGCTAGCAGAGGAGGATATTGTTCCACGAGCAGCAGCGTTGCTGGATGAATATAGATCACAACAGATTGCCTTACACCCACCGCAGCAGAGTACAACGGGGAGGAATTGGACGAAGCCGAGTACGGGGAAGATCAAGCTGAATACAGATGCTGGAGTGTGGGAGGATGGATGCGGGCTAGGAGTGGTGGTAAGAGATGCTCAAGGCAGATTCCTAATGGCGGCGGCAAAGAGGGTGAGCGGAGAACATAACCCGGAAATGGGTGAAGCTCTGGCGGCCGAATTAGGACTGCAGCTTGTGCGACAACACCAGCTTGGTGTGCCCATTCTCGAGATGGATTGTGAGACGATCCGGAAGCGTATCTGTGATGCGAACAGTGACCAGACAGAGCTTGGAGTGATATGCAGAAATATTAAGAGGCTTCTTCAGGAACTGGGTGATGGAGGTTGCAGACATGTATACCGAACGGCAAACGCGGCAGCACATATCATGGCACATACCAGGACAAGATGGAATGAAACTGAAATTTGGTTTGATAGGCCACCTATGAATGTAATCGACCAGCTGGAGCTGGACTCTGTAATGGCTACTCATTCTTAATATAGCCTAGCGCAGATTTCCGTAAAAAAAAAAAAAAAATTTGGAATAGGATTAGAATTTGTCGAGAGCGAAATTCACTCTCATATTTTACTTGTGCATGGACGCTTCAGTCTTGATCCTAGGTTTGAAAGAAAAGTATATGAGGAAACGGACATAGCCATGTCTAACACCATTATTATAGTTAAGACGAAGGGCAAATAATAAAAAATTCATTTTCGCAGTCGAACCACACAACCCACGACGAATTATAAATTTAAAATAATTTCCGTGCTTCAAGAAGTGCGAGTTATCTCATAATTTCATAGAAATGGACAAGTGATGATATCAATTCCCTTATAAGACATTTCTGTAAAAAAATTTTCCCTTATAGGACATTAAGAACTATCGAAAGTTTGAATAATGTCCTGAAGGTATAATATTAATTACTTGACCCCTTTTTCTTTTTGTTTAATTTTGCTTACTATACCCGCTGTTGGAGCATTATAAACTGTATTATTATTCTTACTCCCATCGGGATAAATTTGTGCAAAGTTTCCGCCCGTGATATGAGTTACCACCCCCTGATCACTGACACTACCCCAAACATCTGACTGCATTTTCCAAATAAAATGGAAAATTACGACCTAAATTGAATTGTACATCCAAAATAATACTAAGAAGACATGTTATTTTTTAGGGTAAATACAATGTATTAGCCACAACTATTATGAAGCGGCGAATTATAGCCACAACTATGAAAATTCAAATTATTAGCCATAACTATTATTGCGGGTCAAGATATGACTAACTGTCTGTTATTGTTATTGAATTTTTAACGAAGAAGGCCACGACAAGAGCCACGTCGGGCTGCTTTTAATTTATAACTTTAAAACATAAAAGTTTAGTCAGTATTACTAATGAAAT